ACTCCCTCCTGGGAATGGGGCATTTCTCTCCAGGATGTTGGAGAGATGTAGGGGCCCTTAGAGAGTGGTTGGAAGCCCTCTTGTGATAAAGACCTGATATAGGAGGTGATTGCAACAACCCTTGGTTGCGATACAGTGTGACAAGAATATCTGCAGTTCATGACATCTGGTGACCCTGATGTGATTCATCAGAACGTGAACTTCTTGGACTGCAGGATGAAGTGCGGTAGAGCCCAGCGAAGCTTGAGAGCAGCGGGGGAGCTGCGGATTGATTGGTTTCAACTTAGACATCTGGAATAAGGTGAGCCGCTGGGAACGGAAAATGGGACAGAACTTTGTAAAGGAAAACCAGACCTTTGTATTCCTTAAATCTGCGATAATGGCTGCGGGGGCCAATATAAGCAATGAAGATCTCTATAATTTACTTAATTGGGTATTGGAGCGTGAAGGCCTAGTGAATCTTAATACCACCTTTAGCCTTGAGCTGCGGAAAAAGCTGGGGGATAAGTTACTTTGTGAAACTGTGTTTGAGCAAAAGGACCTGACTGGCCTGCTGTGTACATGGGGGGCCCTAGATGATATAATTCAAAAGGGGATGGCAGAAGGAGAGGAAACAGACTATGTATCTGTGGGCGAAGGTTTTGATGGAGATGATGAACTGTCTGAGGGAGGACTGACCCTAGACAGCGTGAACAGTGAATCTGACATATCTTCACTGTTCACGGAGATTAAGAAAGTTGCGGGGACTGTGCAGGGACTCTGCCCCACCCCGCAGGAGGTGTTGAAGCGTCCCCCACCCTTTGCCCTAGCAGCCCCCCCTTCCTCTTCGGGATTTGTCATGCCTACAGCTCTGCCACTTGAGCAATTGGCCCCATCCCCGGCAACTTCATATCCTGCAACATATCTGGCACAGGTGCAAGCAACGCAGCCAATATCGGTACAACAGGCTATGACAATACTGCGAGGAGTGTCCCAACAGCTAGCAGTCATGGTGGAAATGCTGCAGCAGGCCATAACCCCCCCTGCAGTAAGAGAGGCTATAGGAGAGACCTCTAAAGTAAGTGACAGTTCAGCTGGGGAGTTGCCACCGGTATCTAAGCCAAGGAAAAGGTCGCTGGTATCTGCCCATTTAATGGAGCCGGACCCCCTGAGAGCATACCTATCCCCCATAGCACAGCTGAAAGCGGCAGAAAAAATTACCCCACCGGCCATGACAGTTCAATCTCGTGACCCAGTACTTTTCTGGGACAAGGTTAAGATGAAGGCAATGGAGGCTGGGGACTGGAATTTGGTTCAAGCTCTGGGGGTACCAGTCAACAATAAAGAATGATCTGTAACGGAAATGGGGGGAGGGCCGAGTGCATTCCCCGTAGAACTGGCCCTCCTGGGCTCTAACCAGCCCAATCAACATTTGGGCTGGCCATGGAAAGTGATACAGGATATGCAGAAGGCAGTAGTGCAGTACGGACCGAATTCCCCAGCAGCAACACAATTATTGCGATTATTGAACCTAGAGGTACTGGTGCCATATGACTTTCAACATCTGGCTCAAGTCATGTTCCAGCCAGTACAATCCTCTATTTTCATGAACATTTGGAGGCAGTTGGCCGATCATCATGCACTGCAGAATATACAATTGCCCCAAGGCGACCCGTGCTATGCTGTCGGCACAGATGTACTGATGGGAACAGGTCACGTATTTAGTAATCCGGCGATCCAAGTGCAGTGGCATCCCCAGATTCTTAAACAAGTTAAACAAATAGGGATGCAGGCGTTAATGCGCACGACATAAATGGTGGAGCCCAAAGTGAGGTACTCTACGATTAAACAAGGGGTCAAGGAACCTTTTCTACAGTTTGTGAAAAGGTTGCAAGGGGCAATAGAAAAGTAGATATTTGCCAGCAGACTACAGGCCTTGTTAACAAGACAGCTGGCAAAAGATAACGCTAATCCCGATTGCCGGAGAGTTATTGAAGTATTGCCGGGGGACCCCTCTCTAGAAGAAATGGTTATTGCATGCGCCAAAGTCAGGTCCGTAGAACATGAGATGACCACACTGGCCACTGCCCTAGCTAAGAAACACAGATGTTATATTTGTGGGAAAATAGGTCATCTCGCTAAAAACTGCAGATCAAAGGTCTACACTAACAGCCGGTCAAATTGGGGAAATAGGAAAGGCAAAACAAGGAGAGGCGCGTCCTACAGTCCGGATAAAACCTTTGTGGGAACGTTGCAGCAGCTGCAGGCCAACCACAGTCCAGAAAAAACCTCTGGGAATGTTGCACCAGCCACAGGCCAATCCAGTAATAGATCAACAGGAAAAGCAGCCAGAATGGCCGGGGTGGATGTATCTGTCACCGCCAGACCAATGGATATATCCACTGCTGTTGTGGTATAATGAGAAACAAGACTTTCCCTTGGTTTTGGTTTCAAAAAAAAGAAAGGGGGAATTGTCGGGGAAGTCTTCTGGCTGCTGTATGGGTTGAATAGAAAGCACATGTGTGTTGTTAAAACAGGTGCTGTGAGTCACGTTGGTCAGCTGGAAACCACGTGACCCATGGGTGGTTAAACGCGGGGCACTCCCTCCTGGGAGTGGGGCATTTCCCTCCAGGACGTTGGAGAGGTAGGAGCCCTTAGAGAGCAGTTGGAAGCCCTCTTGTGATAAAGACCTTCTCAGTGAGATAAAGACCTTCTGATATACGAGGTGATCGCAACAACCCTTGGTTGCGATACAGTGCGAGAAGAATACCTACAGTTCGTGACAGGATTAAACCATGAATGATGCTCCTTTCTTCCTTCCATTCATCATATCCCCTTAAAAAATGGTTTATGATGCTAAGAAATAGTTTTTCTAATAGTACCTAGTTTGACAGTTGCTTCTTGCATTTTGCAAACTTAAACCATCCGTCTTTGCATTTGGCTAGTTGTTAGCTGAATGTTTTTTGCATATATTTATAAAACCTGGTTAAAAAACATTTTACTTCTTTCAATGCTTTAAAACTGAAAAATTTCATAGTATTATGATGTCAGAAACACGGATTTCCCCAGCTCAGAAACAGCCAGTGAATGAACTTGGGAAAAAGATGCAAAGGAAGTAGCATTAGGCTTGGGGTGATGGGCAATCCTGGCTCTTGGTCTTGGAGTTCAGTGTCCACTGAACCTTGCATGGTTCCCACGTGCACAGTAATCTGAACAACTCATAAATACCCTGAAGAAAAGAAACGCTAGTTGTCTTGTTTCATAGATTAGGAACTGAAGTCCAGGGCTAAATATCCCAATATCCCAAGCAGAAGTTAAGTCTGTATTTCCAGTCCCTAGTTAACAATCCAAGTCATGGACACCCTTTTAGCTCTAGTTTCCCTCCTGCAGAAAAAAAAAAAACCAGCTCTCAGATAACTGAGTATCTCAGATCTGATGTAGAATACGACAGCAGTAAGATTAACACGCACAATTTTACCGTTCCACAAGCCAACAGTCACATTCCTTACCCAACTTGCAGTAGACATGAACTGGGAAAAAGGATTTTCTTTGCAATTTTCTTGCATTGAGAATTGTTCCTGAGTAATAAGAGCTACTCTTTTCTCTCTACAGAACTCTCAGGTTGTTAAATTGCTCTTGTGATGGCTGAATCCACATTTCAGCTACAACAGCGGGAAGCGCGGCAGGCAGGGCGATGCCCGCAGGAGGAGAGCAGTGCTCAGTTCACGGGATGATGAAACACATGTGAACTCTCTGTGCTCCAGCCAGCTTCTGCGGAACAATTTCTCTGTGCCTCAGTCTGATGTTGCACTGCCTCAGTCCTGCTTACTTTTCTCTTTGGAAAGAAATCACTGCTGTCTTCAAAAAAAGAAGGAAAAACGGTTTTGGTAGAGCAGACAACTTGGCAAGTAAAGCAGCAGACACTAACTAGCCCTAAAACTTCACAGAGAAGCATCACTGAAATGTACCTCAACATCTACAGTTTGAATTCAGGTTTTAAAACCACAGAAACTTTGGTACATGTCCACGTGGAACAGTTTCTGTTGCTCAAGCACCACTTTCTATTTTGACTAACGAAGAAATAAAAAAGCAAACCAGCTCCACGACAACCAGCACAGAAGTGAGCAAAGTGCCCAACTGTGCCTTAATAAAGCTCCTTCCTCTCCCTTCACTGCATGTTGAAGGTCACTTGTTTTAGATAAGCACGTGGAGTCATAAAAAGCAAGATTAATTTAAAAGCTTGGTAACTTTTTTTGCTTTTTTTGGAATATCAGTGAGGACTGAGAGCCAGACTAACAAACTAACCAAGAAAGGACAAAGTGTTCACCCTGTCCAAAACAAAAATGTCTAAAACCTTTTCCTCCTCCCTCCCTCCTTCCCTCCCCTCCCATGGTTCTCTGCTGACACCTCCCCTGAGCCAGCGTTACCTAACTTTTGCACAAACACGCAGTTCCCGTATGCATCAACTTCAAACAGCTCTGGCTTTCTGTTGGAGCAGAGGGGAGCAGAGGCAAAGAGCTACTACTGAGGGGTTCTGCAGCGGCTTTGCAAGGTAATCAACTTGTTGGATTTTTACTTTTCATTTATAACGTCTAACTAGTGGTTAAGTAGATGGACCAAAAAAAGCCTCCTGGCAAACTGTCTTGCTGGTATTTGTAGTAGGAGAAAAGACTCAATACAAACTCAAAAACAGATTTAGTGACACTTTGGCTTACTTGCTTCCTGCAGGAAAACAGAGGAAGTTTTCCTGTTTTACATTTTACACAAGATCTAGTGTAAAATGTAAAATCATCAGTCTTTCTTTTAGTCATGGGTGTCAGTTGTATATGTTTAAACATGAAAAAGCATTCTGATTTAGTTTCAATTCATCACATTAGACAGATTCAGAAAGCAGCAGTCCACTGGGACTGTACTCCGGCTGTTTTGCCCAGCCCTATCACAGGTTGCGTGCCTTTCTCTCCAGTCATACTGCTGCAAAATGCCCTTAATTCTTTAACTGCTTGTACCTTTTGCAGGCTCCGAATTGTGAAGATGCTTCTGCTTCTTTCTCTCGTCACTGGGCTTGCCCTGTCTGCCCCTGGTGTCATGACAGACAAAGAAACTGGTCCAAACCAAGAGTCATTTCATGACATGGAGAAAAAAGTGAACGACCTCTGGCAGAATTTGCTCTATCCAGTAATGCCTGGTAATAAGACTGATGGGATGATTTACGCCACTTGTGAAATGAAGCCCAGCTCCAAAATAGATGCTGACAAGCCACAAGTGACTGGACAAGTCTTATTCAGACAGAATCACTCATACGGAAGATTAGAAGCTGTTTTTCACTTGGATGGGTTTCCGTTGGATGATAATCAGTCTGGTAGAGCCATACACATCCACGAGCTTGGGGATCTCGGCAATGGCTGTGATTCTACAGGAGGACACTATAACCCTTTTAGCGTGAATCACCCCCGCCACCCAGGGGATTTTGGCAACTTTTTTCCTAAAGAAGGCAAAATCAGAAAATACAAAACAAATCTCTCTGCTACTATGTTTGGTCCATATTCCATCATGGGCAGATCTGTTGTGATCCACGAGCAGGAAGATGACATGGGCAAGGGCAACAATAAGGCCAGTCTGGAGAACGGGAATGCTGGGAAACGTCTGGCTTGCTGCGTGATTGGGATATGCAACAAGATCTTGTGGGAAGGGAAACTGTCTGAGATTACAGAGAAGAAGAAAAGAGCACTCAACAAACGAACATAGAACCAGGCTTAAGTGAAGACCAACAAGCTGGCTACGGCCTGGGCAGCACAAAGTACCTTAGGCTGTGCCACTGCCCACTAAGATATACCGCTAAAGGATTCCCATTTCCATTCGCTTGCTCCTCTGAGAAACGCGTATCACTTTGTAGAGCCTCCTTTCTGTAATTCCATCAATAAAATCAGCATCAACTCAACATTGTGATGTATTTTCTTGAAGAGAAAAGATTCCCTTTTATGCAGTTTGGGAGCTGAATGCATGCAAAAGTGCTAACGGATATGGCTGATAGTCTGTAAAGGGTCTGTGTGCTGCAAAGGGCTCTTAAGGGATCCTAAGTTAGACACCAAAGGAAAATAAAGTTAATACAAGTAAGTAAAGAAATCACCTCTCATTAGACGCCATACTGTATTTAGCTGCAAATCTGACAGGTAAAAATATCTCTATGCTTTCAGCTGTGTTGGGTGTTGTGTTGCAAGATCTGGATAATGGACTTCCCTTAAAAATTAGGGAAAGTACAGACATTTCAGTTTTAAATTTCAGATCCATTACGTTATTCTACGTTATTGTATTTTCAGGTTTTATTCTCAAACATGGATAAGCTTCTTAGCTATTTTAAATTGTCCACATGACTATAGCTAAGTCATACTGTTTACATCTGAAAGCAGACTTAAAAGAAATATGCCAGTTTGCCATCACTCCCCAGTAAAAATTCCCTAAAGCCTATAGTTTGTGCCTGTTAGTAACTAGGTTGTATACAAAAGTTTTCATGCTGCTTAGACAACGATAGTTAGCAGGTTAGCTAAGTATCTGCAAGTTAGCAGATTGTAGATAAATATTATTTTCAAAGCCAAAAAAAATCTTGACTGGGTTTCTTCACACAAAAATGTAGGAAGTAAATCAGTCAATTTAGACAGGGAGAAGTGACAGTGAAAAGATTTAAATCAGATCATTTTCCAACTTAAAACTCTCACTCAATAAAGCTTTACTTTCTTAATTTAACACAACTCATTGAAAATGCTAAGACACTACCTCATGACTATAATTCATCTGATACTGAGAAAAGAAAAGGGAACAAGCAGGTAGAACAAGTGTATCAGGAAACGTTTTTATTAAAGATGACAAAATGTATTAATATAGCTGAACCATATTGTGCAGTTAATCCAGGCAGCAACAAAGGAGAGGTTTGCAAATAAATTAAACTGCATAATTTAGAAAGTAAAGCTACAACACAGAAGCTGGTAAACAAAATCCTATCTTCTAGACAAAATCCTATCTTTTAGACATGTAGCAGACTTTCAACTTAATCTCAGTTAAGATTTTGAAATAGATTCCTGAGCTCATACGGATTAAATAAATTCCGCTGTCTTTATTATACAAATTCCCATATACTTAAAAATAGTCTCACTTAGAAAAGCAGCATTCAGAAGAAGCACATTCTAAAAGATGCTTCTTAATCTGTCATTTTCACACACTTATTTTACAAATTCCATCAACATTGTTTTTTAAATAACCAGAACATCATACTTTCACAGAGGTAAGGTATGAATTCACTTTCAGGTGAGACAACTTCCTTAAAATCAGTTTGCAAAATGCATCTTCTCCATACCCCTGCCACAACATTCCCTTCCCAGTTTGCTTTCCCAGAGCCCAACACCAAAAAGGCTTATATGCCAGTCTAAAAAAAACAAAGCAAAACATCCAAACAAAACCAACCTCCCCCCGCAAAAAAAAATGACCCCAAAACCTAAAGTAGTGTTGATTCCATAACAAAACACTAATTAATTTACTGGGAAAAAAAAATAATCGTTGTTCTAATAGCACAGCAGTATTAATTAAAGCAATATCCAATGAAGATACTGACAAGAATATTCAATTAGTTATCACATAGTGCAGTAAAGATGTCTTACTTTTACAAGTCTCCCAGCTTTGAAGTCTTGTGTTCCTGGGAGAAGGCTAAAAACGTAGCTAGAATACACATTCACTAAGGCAGAAAGGAGAGGTACAGTATGGCAGCAGTGATAGAGCACTAAAAATGAGGTTTCCAGAGATCTAGATATCTCACTGGAATTTAATGATTGCAAAGATATAAAAATGGCACCTAAGAGGGAGAATGGTGTGAGGATAATTACCAAGATGTCCTAATTGTTAGGTTGTACATCACTATGTTCTCACAGAAAAAACATACTAAAAAGAAGTTGGTCCAGCACTGCTTCTACCTGCTCAAACTTTCGCACCAAGCTCTTCATTAACTAATAGCATTAACCGGCTGTTAAGGGATCAGGAGCAAAATGCTAACTCACACAACTGTGGGTCAGGAAAGACACAGGGCAGGGAAGCAACATAACGCCTTGAACATTTCAGAGCTCAGCTGTGTGAAATCTTGACCTTCTTATTCACTTGCCTCAGTTCTGACTGCATTGGTATTTAGCTCTGCACAGGATTAGTCTATGAAAGATGGAAAAGAATACATCTTGAATAAAATGCTACTTCATATGACATTCAAGTATTAAAGGAAAAAATCCTGCCACATTCTCCTGGAGATTTCAGCTCCTGCAGCTATTTCTCTTCTGATTTGTCAGTACTGCCATATAAATGAGTCAATAATGCAGTAAGTTACAATTACTGGGAACAGCATAACAATCTTTCAAATACTTAAACTCTTCTTGGTTTTCAGGTGATGAGGAACTTAAACAGTGATCAAGATAACGAAAGAAGAACTTTTTACTGTTTCACGCCCCTAACACAATTAAATATAGATGGTTTTTGTTCTTAAGGGCTGCTGCTTGATATCAGTGAAACGCTGCAATGTCAAATTACCTTTAAAGAGGAAGGAAACATTTGAGGAGCACTGTGAGTATGGCTTTACTGCCTGCAGACTGACACTGAAAGGGTTACATGAATGCATCTGCTAGGGAAAACACATGAAAACAGAGACAAGCCACATTTTTCACCTTCCCGCTATCATTCCTTATATTTATATGTAATCATTTACATACTGCCTTTCTTCTGCTGAATACAAACTGTTCATGGACTCTGACACCTTGATTATGGCAGCACCTGCTAGCTCATCTTCCATACACAGAAGAGTTTGTCAGTACTGCTAATATAAACTCTGTTTATTCAGTAGCTGACAAGTGGGCTGTAAAAATTTGCAGCTGGCAGTTATTTGTCAAAGAAGGACTCAATCTGGGAGGGATTTTCCTTTTTATTAGTAGTATTTTATTAAATTTGGTTTAATTCTCTCTGATTGGTTTCAAGTTCTACGAGTGAGAAATGAACATTTACAGACAATTAGGTCCCAAGCCAGCAGAAAAATTGCCTTGACGGCTGCTGGCCCATAGAAGCTCCACAGCTGCAGAGACTATTCCTTATGCTACAAACAGGAGACGAAGGACATGACTCCTCTTCTCCAACAGCTGCTAACTTCAACATTAAGTATCCCCTTGTCGCTGCCTTCCTAGGAGCAGAGTGGCACAGCTCCAGCATCAGGAGCAAGCTAGGGAATGACACAGCAGCCTCCCTTTTCCTCAGTTATTACAGGAGTGTTCTCCTATGACTAAACATCAACAAGGGAAGAAATTTAAGAAAGCGTCAACAATGCAAATAAACCTTCTACTGCACCACAGACTGGTGAAATGAGGAAGAAAGGAAGAGTTATCTTTAATTCCAAAACATGAGAAAACAAAAAGACAGAGATTCCTTTAAAAAGGAGGGCACAGATGGAGTAGGCTGAAACCTACCGCCCGTTACTCAGCCTGAGGGCTGTTCCAGCTCCTGTAGGTTGAGAAATGCAATTCCAGTAACTGAGAGAAGCAAGCAGGTGGACAGGACATCACTGGTTCTCCTCTTGCTGTTCTCCTTGCTTTGCAACAGCATTGCCACTTCTCACAGAAAGACTTCTGCCTTCTCTGATGACGTCTCCTTCAGAGCGTCATTAAATTGGGTTGTCAGGATCTGGTGAAGTAACTCCCTGTATTTTCATGAGATGAGCTGGGAGAGGGAAGGAAAAGTTTCATACAGTTGAGAAGATACAAAGTTTTGTAACGAGGGAACTATACACATGCAGGGATGGTTTTCAGAAACTTCCTATAAGGGAACAGTGATTTTATTCTAAGGATGTACTTACAGTCACTATATGTAAAGAGAAACAGAATGCAGCCTGAAAAACAAGCAAAAGCTTGCAGCCTTAAGATGCTTCTCAATTTATCACTCCACATTTTTCATCCTTGGAAGACACTTCTAACTATTAAAATACAGTCCAGCACTAGGATCATACGTGTTACAGAAGCCTAGCGATAACACAATAAATCATTATCATTAGTCTCTTTGCTACGCTGATACAACTTACATCAATCTATGTGGAAACTTCAAATCATTACAAAAAATCCAACATGATTAAACATCATCACTAATTATTTCCTTTGGGTAATTTACATTTTCGGTACACTGTAGCCAAAACTAACAGAAAAACACCTTTATGAGACAAGTATTGAGAGCTGGATGTAAAAATCAACCCTACAGCACACTGTTTCACCGGTCATACTTGCAGCAGCACAGACACTGCAAAAGGATTACAGTGAGAAGCTCGAGGGCCTGGATTTCATACCTCAAGCCAAACTGTTATCCAAATATTCACAGTTTTCAGAAAAAGCAGGATCAGATGGTTTCTTGTTTTCAGATTCAGGGAGCTCCTCAAAGCTGTTATTTGTGTGTGCAGTTTTAACACTGAGCCCTCCACGCATCCCAGGGTCCTCAGAATGCACCACATCCACCGTGCTGCCATTTCGATCCCCTCTTTCATTTGGAATTTCACAATCGCTCTCTGAGGTTTCGTCATTACCTTTCAGGGCCTCAGTTTCAGCTGTTTGTTCGTTCTCTGAGTTTGAGGGATCTGTGGGGTCGGATGGGTCAGGGCTGGAAAGTGGGAACTCTCCCTCAGATGAACCATTAACCTCTACTCCAACCACGGTGTTCTGCTCCCCTGCAGAAGTGCTTGCTCTTTT